CTAGCAGTTTTTGGTGGTAAATGTTTTGACTGTTTTACTACAAAATAATGTTTACAATATAATCCCCGTATGGAACAAAGGCAATATAGTATACTAGCCTTAGAGGGCGCTTCGCGCCCATCTTCTAAATTAGTTGTGAACATGTTCTCTTTGTGTACATCGTAAAACAAAACAAAAATAATTCGCGGATTTTTACAAAAAATTTCGCGGATTTTCAAAATATTTAAAAATTTAATGACGATCGAATTTTGATGGAGACAAATATTTGAAATTTTGATTTTTCATATACCTTCCCTGGGGTTCCTAGATGTCCCACAAAAAATTTGGGCCCGATCGGTTCAGCCGTTTTGACGTTTATTGGATACAAACAAACAAACAGACAAACGACAAACAAGCCAAATTTATATATAGATACAGGGTAAACCAAAAGAAATCTGTCAATTTGTCGTCCGATGCTTATATTTTGTATAAAACTGCGTCAAATTTTCACAAATTTCTCTGTTAACTGTAGCAAACCAAAATTGTTTAAAAACTATTTTACATTGATCTGATTTTTTTTTTCATCGGTTTTCTGAGATCCAAGGCGAAAACGTACGAATATATACAAATGCTCTCTCTCTGTCTTGTCATGTGCGTAACTCATTTGGGCTTCTGTCTCAGATTTGTTGTGTACGAAAAACCCCTAAATCTTGAAAATACATCTAGTGTTCTATCTGTATTGTTATTAATCTACGGAGAGGTTGTAGTAGTTGGCTCTGCCTTGATAATTTTTCCATGGCAGCAAATGTGGTCACTGGACAATACTTTGATGAAATAATTCTAAATAATTTTAAAATCAAATTATATATTTATTATTGGGCCATTTTCTCTGCAATAAAGATTTGAATATGAATTTTAAGAATTATTGATTGCTAAAAGTCAACAGCTTTCGAATACTCATCAAATGGAAGCATCGGACCACAAAAAATTACAAAACAGACAACTTTTAAAATTCCAATCTGCATGCTTAAGTACACATTTTCTAGTCATTTCAAAAGTGTTTAAGACTAAAAAAAAACCTTCGTTTCCGTTTTTGGAGTCACCCTAGATGAAAGGATTGTTTATAAAGGAACGTTTCCAGGATTATACTGGAAATTTTTTCATCTACAGATAGATAGATATTCACTACTGAACACTGGAAGCTATCTAGTACCTACAGTGGGACCCAGATAAATGTGGAATAAAAAATTGAAATCAAAGCAACCTTTGTGTAGTTGATCTTGTTTTATAGCAAATAGTTTTACCAGTATAAGTATGAAAATTAGTTTCTAAGTGAAATGTGTATACTAAACAATTGCAGTGTTTCATTGGAGTCTTTAAAATCATAACTTGAGTCAAAAAGTCGTCTTTCCAATTCACAGTTCTATGGATCCCACTGCATGTATGTGGAAATAAATAATATCTGATAGAAGAAAGAGATCGAGGATAAGATCGGCAGACTGAGAACTGTTTAATATTATGAGTTTACGATCTCACTATTTCTAGATATTTCAAAAATATGAATTCATTTTTATCCTCTCTCCAGACGAACTTTATTACTCATTACATATATATTTCCTATATATAAAGTATTAATCTCTGTTTCTTTGCTTGTAGTTCGATCAAAACTCATGAAACCCTTGAAAAATTTCCCTGAAATGTTGATTGTTGAGCTCGTATACATCACGGGTTCTCTAACCTTGTTTTAAACATTTAAAGGTGTTTAAGGTAATTTTGTTAAGTCAGAGAAGGTTTATCAAGACTAGGACAATTTATTTACAAAGGAAAGACTCTAAAATAAAGGAAAAACTCTAGAAAAGGACAAACTCAAGAATAGAACAAACTCTAGAAGAGGACAAACTCAATAATAGGACAAACTCAACAATAGGACAAACTTTAGATTAGGACAAACTCAAGAATAGGACAAACTCTAGAATAGGACAAACTCTAGAATATGACAGACTTTAGAATAGGACAAACTCTAGAATAGGACAAACTCAGGAATAGGACAAACTTTAGATTAGGACAAACTCTAGAATAGCACAAACTCAAGAATAGGACAAACTCTAGAATAGGACAAACCCTAGAATAGGACTAATTCTAGACCTGAACAAACTCTAGAATAGGACAAACTCTAGAATAGGAAAAACTCAAGAATATGACAAACTTTACATTAGGACAAACTCAAGAATAGGACAAACTCTAGAATAGTACAAACTCAAGAATAGGACAAACTCTAGAATAGGACAAACTCTATAATAGGACTAATTCTAGACCTGAACAAACTCTAGAATAGGACAAACTCAAGAATTTGACAAACTCAAGAAAAGGACAAACTTTAGATTAGAACAAACTTAAGAATAGGACAATCTCTATATTAGGACAAACTCAAGAATAGTACAAACTTAAGATTAGGACAAACTCTAGAATAGGACAAACTAAAGAATTTGACAAACTCTAGACTAGGAAAAACTCAAGAATAGGACAAACTTTACATTAGGACAAACTCAAGAATAGGACAAACTCTAGAATAGTACAAACTCTAGAATAGGACAAACTCAAGAATAGGACAAACTCTAGAATAGTACAAACTCAAGAATAGGACAAACTCAAGAATAGGAAAAACTTTAGATTAGGACAAACTCAAGAATTGGAAAAACTCTAGAATGGGACAAACTCTAGAATAGGACAAACTCTAGAATAAGACAAACTCTAGAATAGGACAAACTCTAGAATAGGACTAATTCTAGACCTGGACAAACTCTAGAATAGGACACACTCAAGAATTTGACAAACTCAAGAAAAGGACAAACTTTAGATTAGGACAAACTCAAGAACAGGACAATCTCTATATTAGGACAAACTCAAGACTAGTACAAACTCAAGATTAGGACAAACTCTAGAATAGGACAAACTAAAGATTAGGACAAACTCAAGAATAGTACAAACTCAAGATAAGGACAAACTCTAGAATAGAACAAACTCTAGAATAGGACAAACTAAAGAATTGGACAAACTCTAGAATAGGACAAACTCAAGAATAGGACAAACTTTACATTAGGACAAACTCAAGAATAGGACAAACTCTAGAATAGTACAAACTCAAGAATGGGACAAACTCTAGAATAGGAAAAATTCAAGAATATGATAATGAGATAAACTCTTCGGTTTAAAGGAATACCAAAAACACATCCCAAGACTATAGAAAAAACTTAAATAACAGGACAAAGTCTTGTTTAGAAAAATTATGAAAGTTTGGAGGTTGTGGCGCGGGCGTTACATTTTTAAAAGTTGAAAGTGGTTAATTGGTTGTAAATTGGAAAGATTTTAGTCTTTTGTTCAGATTTATAGTAAATTAAACCTTTTGTTACTTAAACTGAAATAAGTTTTTAAATGTGTTTTTTCTTCTTCACGTTTAAACAGTTGATTACGATCGACTGCATATGGTCTACTTTGAAGATTGTAAAGTAATATACAAAAATATGATTTTTGCTTTAATTTTTAATCTTTTTGCACATTTTTAAGCATACACTAAAAGATATTTTATCTCTCTGTACATGCATATCTATGTAGGTTGCATTCCTGTAGATAAATGTTGTATGTTGAAGGTCTTAAAAAGTGTAATTCAGAAAAGAATGAATTTGAATATGAAAAATTGCTGAAAAACTGATTGAAAATGAATATTGAAAATTACTTATTTGAAGAAAAGATAGATGATTGCGCAGAATGAAAATCTTCTTGAGTTCCTTCAAAATATTTTTGTTGTTTCTGTTTAATCTTTGTGACAATTTCGTTACAAGATGTTAACCTGCTCATCCAACCAAAAATAAAATCTTTTGCCATTCGCACTCTACAATTCACACACATTTACACTTCTAGTTGGGTTCAGGGATTTATAGTGGGTTTAGGGATATTTGGGGGTTTAGGGATGTATAGTGGGTTCAGTTATATATATATAGTGGGTTCAGGGATATATGGTTAGTTCAGAGATATAAAGCATAAGTTCAGGGATATATGGTTGGTTCAGGGATATTTTGGGGGGGGGGGGATATATATTGGGTTCAGGGATATATAGTGAGTTAAGAGATATATGGTGGGTTTAAGAATATATGGTGGGTGCATGGATATATGGTGGGTGCATGGATATATGGTGGGGTCAGGGATACATGGTGGGTTAAGGGATATATAGTGTGTTCAGGTATATTTAGTGGGTTCAGAGATATAAAGCATGGGTTCAGGGATATATGGTGGGTTCAAGGATTATAGTTGGTTCAGGGATACATAGTTGGTTCAGGGATATATAGTTGGTTCAGGGATATATAGGGGGTTCAGTGATATATAGTTGGTTCAGGGATATATATATATAAGTGGGTGCAGGGATATATAGTGGGTTCAGAGATAAATGGTGGGTTCAGAGATATAGTGGGTTCAGTAATATATAGAAGGTTCAGGATCGATAAATAGTAGGTTCAGGGTTATATAGTGAGTTATAATTGGGATATATGGTGGGTTCAGGGATATATGGTGGGTTCAAGGATATATGGTGGGTTTAGAGATATAAAGCAAGGGTTCAGAGATATATGATGTATTATATATATATATATATATATAGTGGTTTAAGGGATATATAGAAGGTTCAGAGATATAGTGGGTTCAGGAATATATGTTGGGTTCAGAGATATAAATTGAGGGTTCAGGAATTCGATATAGATAATGGATTCGGTTAAAATTAAAATGGGGTGTTCAGGAATATATGAAGTGGAATCTAAGACATATACATCAAATATAGAGTTCTCAGAGATAGCATGGTTGCTGGTTTATGAATTATGAATATTTAAAAAGAATTCGACGAATATATGATTTCTAAAGAATGGCAGAATTATCTGTGTATGCCTACGCTACCAGGCCCTAGAATTAGAATATAATATACAGAACAGGGCGCGGTTAAAGGGCGGGAATATATGAGGGAGGTAGTTAGGGTAGTTTGGTTTGCATTATACTATACCGGCACTAGACTAGACTGTACAGACGAGTTGGAGTTATACAGTTTACAGGTGAAATTTTATCTATACAGATATATGTATAATTTAAGTGTTCATACATAACTAAGCTCTTTTAATTTGTGCTTTTTTACGATTTTCAGTTATCAATAAGACTATCTCGGCGATTTACAAATCAGAAAAAATATTGTAATCATTTTATGCAATAAAAAGTTTTCAGTAGAATGGAAATATATGCAAACACTACACGTATATTTGTTAAACGTAAATAGGGTGAATAATTATCTTAGGAACATATATTATTTATAATACGTTATATATAATTACTCATTCTAAATACTGTGCAAAGAAAATTTTAATTTATTTTCAAATGAGATTCAAGTATAATTTGACAATAAATTACACAAAGATTACATTTGTTTAAAAATGGTAATTAATTTTGGATTTCAGTATGAATACTTAATTTAGCACTAAACTAATTATAAAACAATGTTTTTGTGTGAACAGCCCATAGCGTGTATATTGACAAATATTTCCTAACTGTATCATATTTCATGAACAACATTATAATATTATAAATATGTTTTCCTGCAATATTTCATTATAATTCCTTAGTCAAATCCAACTAAGGATTGAGTCTGTGCCACAAACTCTGATTTTCTAATTCGTAGACCTTCGATAACTTAAATTTTGTCAGTAAAATAATCTAAGATTAAAATATGAATGGTTTACACCATCTGGTTGCAAAGATATAGGATTAGAAAATTTGAGTTTGTGGCAAAGACTAATTTTTTTTCTTTATAACCGAATGCAACAAAACAGAGGGACGTTAAGTAACGATCTCTTGGGACAATTAAGTAAAAAAAACTGACCTGCTCTGCAAAGTTTTCGTGAAAAATTATCGCATTTTCATATCACAGACAATAAAATGGTGTACAAATACTTTTTCGGGAAATTAAATTTTCACTTAACCACAAGTTCCCTCAATCAATTTCGGCAACACAACATCCCTCGCTGCGCTCTGTATGTTTTGTAAGCAGAATTGGTCTTTTGAACCCTGTAAAGTAGTTGTAAATAATTAAAATAAATTAGATGGTTTTGTTAAATTTACCAATGTTTATATTTAAGATAAAAATGAGAACTCCACAGCGTAAGAAAGGAGGAAAGGGGGGAGTAAACCCAAAGATTGAAGTCAACAAACTCCGGAAGAAAGCAATGAAAAACAAAATGATGAAGAAAACCATGTTAACTCTGGCTGGAGACGATACAAGGGTGAGTTGAGTTCTAATAATCCGTATTTCATCCTTACTTCATCCTTATTTCATCCTTTTTTCATCCTTACTTCATCCTTACTTCATCCTTACTTCATCCTTATTTCATCCTTATTCATCCTTACTTCATCATTACTTCATCCTTACTTCATCCTTATTTCATCCTTATTTCATCCTTATTTCATCCTTATTTCATACTTATTTCATCCTTACTTCATCCTTTCTTTATCCTTACTTCATCCTTACTTAATCCTTTCTTGATCCTTACTTCATACTTACTTCATCTATTGCGTTATGAATAAATATTCATTGAATATTCGTCACACTTACTTCATCCTTTCTTGATCCTTACTTCATCCTTACTTCATCCTTACTTCATCCTTACTTCTCTATTGCGTTATGAATAAATATTCATTGAATATTCGTCACACTTACTTCATCCTTACTTCATCCTTACTTCATCCTTACTTCATCCTTACTTCATCCTTACTTCATCCTTACTTCATCCTTACTTCCTCCTGACTTGATCCTTAATTCATCCTTACTTCATCCTTACTTCCTCCTTACTTCCTCCTTACTTCCTCCTTACTTCCTCCTTACTTCCTCCTTACTTCCTCCTTACTTCCTCCTCACTTCATCCTTACTTCATCCTTTCTTGATCCTTACTTAATCCTTACTTCATCCTGACTTGATCCTTACTTCATCCTTTCTTGATCCTTACTTCATCCTTACTTCATCCTTACTTCATCCTTACTTCATCCTTACTTAATCCTTACTTCATCCTGACTTGATCCTTACTTCATCCTTACTTCATCCTCCTTTTATACAAGCTTTCATCCTCTTTTTATTCTAGCTTTCATCCTCACTTTATCCTAGCTTTCATCCTCTCTTTATTCTAGCTTTCATTCTCTCTTTATCCTAGCTTTTATAATTTCTTTGTAGCTTTCCTCCTCTTTCTATTCTAGCTTTTATTCTCACTTAATCCTAGCTTTCATCCTTTCTTTATCCTAGCTTTCATCCTAACTTTATCCTAGCTTTCATTCCCTCTTTATCCTAGCTTTCATCCTCACTTTATCCTAGCTTTCATTCTCTCTTTATCCTAGCTTTCCTCCACTCTTTATCCTAGCTTTTATCCTAACTTTATCCTAGTTTTCATCCTCTCTTTATCCTAGCTTTCATTCTCTCTTTATCCTAGCTTTCCTCCACTCTTTATCCTAGCTTTTATCCTAACTTTATCCTAGTTTTCATCCTCTCTTTATCCTAGCTTTCATTCTCTCTTTATCCTAGCTTTCCTCCACTTTTTATCCTAGCTTTCATTCTCTCTTTATCCTAATTTTCATAATTTCTTTGATAGCTTTCCTCCTCTTTCTATTCTAGCTTTCACCCTCTCTTTATCCTAGCTTTCCTCCTCTCTTTATCCTCGCTTTCATTCTCTCTTTATCCTAGCTTTCATCCTTTCTTTATCCTAGCTTTCCTCCACTCTTTATCCTAGCTTTCATTCTCTCTTTATCCTAGCTTTCATTCTCTCTTTATCCTAGCTTTCCTCCTCTCTTTATCCTCGCTTTCATTCTCTCTTTATCCTCGCTTTCATTCTCTCTTTATCCTAACTTTCCTCCTCTCTTTATCCTCGCTTTCATTCTCTCTTTATCCTAGCTTTCATTCTCTCTTTATCCTAGTTTTCATTCTCTCTTTATCCTAGCTTTCATTCTCTCTTTATCCTAGCTTTTATTCTCTCTTTATCCTAGCTTTCCTCCTCTCTTTATCTAAGCTTTCATTCTCTCTTTATCCTAGCTTTCATTCTCACTTTATCCTAGCTTTCATCCTCACTTTATCCTAGCTTTCATTCTTTCTTTATCCTAGCTTTCATTCTCTCTTTATCCTAGATTTCATTCTCTCTTTATCCTAGCTTTCATTCTCTCTTTATCCTAGCTTTCATTCTCTCTTCCTAGCTTTTATAATTTCTTTGTAGCTTTCCTCCTCTTTCTATTCTAGCTTTCATTCTCTCTTTATCCTAGCTTTCATTCTCTCTTTATCCTAGCTTTCATTCTCTCTTTATCCTAGCTTTCATTCTCACTTTATCCTAGCTTTCATCCTCACTTTATCCTAGCTTCCCTCCTCTCCTCATCTTGCTTTTCACCTTTTCTTCTGCTTGCTATCATATTTACTTTATTTTTCCTTTTTTGTTTAATCCTGCGAGTTTGCTTATTATCCATTTTGAAAGTAATTTATGAAATATTCTGATACTATTTGGTTTAATATTAAAATAAATTAATTCTAAATTCTATTCAGGAAGACTTTAAGGATCTGATAAATGAGAGTACAGTATCCAACATCAGTATAATCGGTAGAGAAGAGAAACCACAGAAATCTACCAAACCCAAATCTGAAAGAACGCCAAAGAAACGAGGATTAAAAGCTCTGGGTTCTCAAGTCTCCTTGAAATCTATGACCTCCAGTATAACTCGGCGCTCTACCCGGAGAAATAAAGACCCAGTGAGGAATGGAGACAGTAATGAAATGGAGGTTGAGACTGGAGAAGAGAAGAAGATGAAACTTGTTAAACTTGAACCTGATCCAGCTCCAGCAAACCAACTTGCAGAAGAACAAGGTAAAATTAATATTAAACTATCTTGGCTCTAGAATTAGTTAAGGTCCTTGACACAACACTGAATACAGGGAATAGAAAATAATGTTTGTCAATATAATTTTTAGAGATAATTTATATGATCATCAAACCACCTTCTAAATTTACTTTGCGGTGTAACAAATATATTTAGTCTTTTTCAAGTATTAAGAACATATGTATCTTTTTTGTAAGCAACAAGCTGTGCTTTGAAGTCGCAGTATAATTTAAGTAGTTTGGCAAAAAAGAGTAAAACTTTGAAAGAATAATTAGTCTTTTTTTGTTCGAAATCGTACAGTCGGGCGAACGGTTCGAATATTTCTTTTTGATTTTACATTATTCAGTAAACTAATATTTCTATGTTTTATCAATTTATTCTTCCCAAACATAAACTGTTCGTTCCCATAAACCTTTTTCTATCTATTTATGAATAAATAGATGATTTTACTCACTAATATTGAAGGATAGACCCAAAAAAAACATGCAGCACAAAAAAGACGTAAAAAATACTTAAATATATCATTTCAATTCGTGGTTTTAATTTTTTGAAAAAAATCTTTGGGTCTAAATTATCCCTTAGGACAGCTAAGAAATCTAAACTTTATCCTATTTCAAGTTAGAAATAGTTTTAAAAGTTTAAAACTTTTTTGTTTGTTTCAATTATCCCGTCACACCGGGTTCTAATGTCCAGGTTCCACAGTGAGTAAGCCTTCAATTTCCATTTTTTACTTTTTTTTTTTGCTATTTACTTAGATTTAACGAAATAAACGCCAACGAGGTTTTCAACCTTTTATGTGTCCTTTGAGTTTTTATGTTTCAAATAGTTTCTACAATTTTTTTTCGCCATAAGACTTTCTTATTTTCTATGCCTTTCATGTATATACGCGCGCTGTAATACGAGATGATTTTTTATTGAATATCTCGTTTAATTACTTGTTTGATGATTTGAGTTTTACATATCAAAATCTGCAGATTTGTCACAAAGGGGTTGAATGTAAAAGTTATTTTTTTAAATGATTTTTTAAGAATCAAAGATTTTTAACTTTGCCACGAACTTTTTAAAGCCATATGTCTTTGCGACCTGATGGTGTAAACCTTTAAAATGTCAAACTTAGATTATTTTATCTAACCGAATTCACAGTTTAAAATATCTAAGGTCTACGACATTGGGTTGTAAAGATTCAGGGACAAGGAAATCAGAGTTTGTGGCAAAGGCTCAGTCAATTCCTTGTAGATCAAAAATTTATTTTAGAATATTGTGATACTGACCGGACCTTGCTTACTCTAGTTTAGATATTTATTAATATAATTATTACAATTTAGCTGGATCTCGGTTTCAAGGAGTTAAGAATATGTTTACAAGTGTAGTCTGGGGAGTCCCTTATGCACAGGTATTAATTCTTTTAAAAAAATCATGTTAATGAAAAATATTCATGGATAAATTGAGGGAACAATAAACATATTTATTATTAAACTAGCTTGGGAACCCAGCGCTGCCAAGGCTACTTAAAGTTAATCCCGCCGATTACCCGCTCTTGAACGATTTTACCGGGAAACTAAATTTTTGCTATTAAAGTCGACAACCTAAAAGGGAGTGTTCGCAAAAATTTAAGGGGGGTATAGGCTTAATGCGATAAAAAAGCGCTTTTGATCGCTACTAATCTTACTTCTGTTTGTTGCGTCTATAAAGAGAAAATTGTTAAAGACGTCTCATACCGAATAACTAAGCGCCCATACAAATTCAGAAAATTGCAACATACAACTTAGACCATAAAAAATTTAATTTCAAACAAATCATTCAGATATTAAAACCTATAGTCATCGATTATCTTTCGCCACATTTGTATATAGTTTATGTTTTATAATATTTTTTAATTAATTTGTTTTTAATTTTATTATTTCTCTTGTTGCTTGCGCAACTATCTAAGAATGCCGCGCACCATTCACATTTTTCGAAATCCGTTAAAACGTTTTATAAAAAAATAGAATATTATAAAATATAACCTACTAGAAATTCAAGGTGCTTCGCGCCCTTCTTTCTAGCCTTAGAGGGCGCGACATCTTCTAAATTAATTGTGAACAATGTTCTCTTTGTGTACATCGTAAATCAAAACAAAAATAATTTGCGGATTTTCACAAAAATTTCGTGGATTTTCAAAATTTTAAAAAATTTAATGAAGATCGAATTTTGATTGAGACAAATATTTAAAATTTCAATCATTCATAAACCTTCTCTGGGGTCCCTAGATGTCCCATAAAAATTTGGGCCCGATCGGTTCAGCCGTTTTGACGTTTATTGGATACAAACAAACAGACACCCAAACAAACAAACAAACACCCAGACAAGCCAAGTTTATATATAGATTGATATACAAATGTGGCGAAAAATAATCGATGACTATAGGTTGTAATATCTGAATGATTTGTTTGAAATTAAATTGATTTTTTACGGTCTAAGTCGTATGTTGCAATTTTCTGAATTTGTATTGGCGCTAAGTTATTCGGAATGAGACGTCTTTAACAATTTTCTCCTTATAAACGCAACAGATAGAAGTAGAATTAGTGGCGATCAAAAGCGCTTTTTTATCGCATTAAGCCTATACCCCCTTTCATTTTTCGCGAACATTCCCGTGGGTCTCCCAAGTTCCCCATTCAAAATTTGAGAATACAACTTTATATATATAGATATTTGCACTGGGCTGATAACCTGGATTTAATTTTGAATATAAGGTTAGGTGGCACAATAAGAATTAGAAAATAAAATAATACCAGATTTAAAGGATTACATCGCTACAGAATAAAAGGATAATTTAATTTGAGAATTAAAAAATAAATCATTCAGATTTCAATACTTAGATTATTTAATTACATAACACAATAATTAAGTGGTTTAAGGAGTTAGAATATTTTATAATTTGAGATTGAAGTAACTACACCATCTAGTAGTATTAAAACAAATAAAAAGAATTAGATAAAAAGATATTAAAAATTATCAAAAATATGAAATAATAAAATTAATTAAATGATAAATCATGAATGATGAATTAATAATTGAAAAAATGAAGAATAATAGAATTTGAGGATTTTATAAACAAACATCTAATCATTCAAATCAAGTTAGAGCAAGTACTTCAATTAAAATTGTTTAATACATTTAAATTTTTTTTAACGTTTCAATTTTTTAAATATTTTCAGGTAGTTGAGGAAACTACTTCTGAAGAATTGAACACTTCATCTACAGACTCAACTTCTAGATGTATTATCTCTTAGCTTAGTACAGTTCTATTCTAGACTTAACTAGTTCTATTCTAGACAATCCTGGTTCTATTCTAGACTAGCCTGGTTCTATCCTAGACTATCCTGGTTCTATCTTAGGCTAGACTGATTTTATCATAGACTATCCTGGTTTTGTTCTAGACTATCCTGGTTCTATCCTAGACTAGCTTGGTTCTATTCTAGACTAGCCTGGGTCTATTCTAGTAGACGTAACTAGTTCTATTCTAGACAATCCTGGTTCTATTCTAAACTAGCCTGGTTCTATCCTGGAATTATCCCAGACTAGCCTGGTTTTATCCTAGACTATCCTGGTTCTATCCTAGACAATCCTGGTTCTATCTTAGACTATCCTGGTTTTATTCTAGACTATCCTGGTTCTATCCTAGACTAGCTTGGTTCTATTCTAGACTAGCCTGGATCTATTCTAGTAGACGTAACTAGTTCTATTCTTGACAATCCTGGTTCTATTCTAGACTAGCCTGGTTCTATCCTAGACTATCCTGGTTTTATCCCAGACTAGCCTGGCTCTATTATAGACTATCCTTGTTCTATCATAGACTATCCTGGTTCTATCCTAGACTATCCTTGTTCTATCCTAGACTATCCTGGTTCTATCTTAGGCTAGACTGGTTTTATTCTAGACTATCCTGGTTCTATCCTAGACTATCCTTGTTCTATCCTAGACTATCCTGGTTCTATCCTAGACTATCGTGGTTCTATCCTAGACTAGCCTGATTCTATCCTAGACTAGCCAGGGTCTATCCTAGCACAGTCTAGCCTATCCTGGTTCTCAAATGGCCTAGAAAAGATATAGAATGAAAATTGAGAAAATAAATCGTGTCCAGATTAAAACCTAACAAGCTTAATCCTGAATACTTTAATTGTTATACCCATTAAAGAAAAATCACCATGATTAAACATTTCAAACAAAGTCTGAGACTTTTACTCACGATTCTTATCAAATCTTTTGTCCCTTATGAATCCTGGTATTTACGTAAATCAAATATAACCTAATGCAGGCCTAACTTGAATTTTAGGCCGACTTTTACCAAAAAACACACGATAAAGCTCAATATCTTTGAATTAATTAATTTTGTGTTTAGTTAATTATACGTACCTATTTATTTGATTTAAATGATCTCCTTAATGTTAAATAAAGTGTTGTATTATAATAATTGAATAAATATTTATCTACGTAACAGTACATAGTGATCAAAAGGTTTTGAAAGCTCTCACGCTAAACTCCATGCTAATTTTGCCAATAACTTCTTGAATACTAAAGCATAGAACAAGTGCTTTATAGTTTAAAAGGCACCAACAAATAAGAGTGAGCTAGTAAGGTAAAATCAAAGGCCAATGCCTTAGCCCTTAATGATGCCATAATGTCAACTTATTCCTGAAAATTCAAGTAACTCTTGAAGGCAGTCTGGATCTATGTGAGTAGTTTGACTCTAATCTAGAAACAAGGCACAGTGATATGCAATGCCTTGGTTCGTTTCTATATCATAATTTTTTTAACTTATAAACCAACCACACAAAAACTGATCACATTTTAAGGTTACAACTTTTCATAACTTTTTAATGTTTAGAATAAATAATTTTGAAATTTGTCAAACTTTTCAGATTTTTGTTGAACCTTTTAAAGTCTGAAGTTTGACTAAAAGGAAATATATTATTGTCCATCCCCCCCCCCCCCCCCCCCTCCCAATAAATAAAAAAACCTTGGCGCCTTAACAGATCACTTGAACTCTGTGAAATTTAACTGTTTAATCTGACTGTTTCCTGTCATGTAAAAGATTTCACAAAAAATAAAAAGTGACATCTATTGAGTTAAAGGATTTCAATATATCCAACTCAAGCCAATATTTAAACAAGGCACTGACAGACCTCAAAATATTTACGTAAATAAAAAGAATAAGTCGGTGGAATAAACAGATATAATTGATAAGCATGGTTGTGATGATCTTTATTTAAAGATTTATTACAGCGATTATCAATACATAATTTAAAGACAATTTGTTCCTGAAAGATTTCATGGTTTTGGTCCTTAGAAGATGTTTTTTCATAGCCGTACAAGAATCATGTCTAACATAAATATTTAAAAATATAAAGACGACATTTTTAAGAGGCATTATTTTCCAACCATGTGAATTTGACCCAACTAGTATATTTATATATATAAACACATACCAAAGAATCCCTTCATTGTTTGATTGTTTGTATCTAATGGGCAATTCCCTCACCGCTTGTCCCTACTCCCAAAGATTCTTTTCTTCTCACCCCCCACCCGGTTTTTAGGCTTAATTTATGCTCTACCAGTATCCTCCAACTCTATCTAACAGTATCCTCCAACTCTATATACCAGTATCCTCCAACTCTATCCACCAGTATCCTCCAACTCCATCTACCAGTATATCCTCCAACTCCATCTACCAGTATCCTCCAACTCTATCTACCAGTATCCTCCAACTCTATCTAACAGTATCCTCCAACTCTACCAGTATCCTCCAACTCTATCCACCAGTATCCTCCAACTCCATCTACCAGTATATCCTCCAACTCTATCTACCAGTATCCTCCAACTCTATCTAACAGTATCCTCCAACTCTATCTACATACTTCAACTCTACCCGTATCCTCAAACTCTACCAGTATCCTCCGGCGCCATGACAAACTCCTGAAAGACAAACTCCTGAAAGACAAACTCATGAAAGACAAACTCCTGAAAGACAAACTCCTGAAAGACCAACTCCTGAAAAGACAAACTCCTGAAAGACAAACTCCTGAAAAGACAAACTCCTGAAAAGACAAACTCCTGACGAGACAAACTCCTGAAAATAAAAACTTCTGAAATACAAACTCCATAATATCAAAATTAAAAAAAATTAAAATCTAAATTATATTCTATTCTAATTATACAATTAGGTAATTTCCTAGAGAACGATTTTTGGACCCCCCCCCAGGCCCCCCCTCCTATCAATTTTGTACATGGATCTTATATGTTTAACATGGATATAATTGACCATGTTTATAATATTTCATTCAGAGAAAAATTTCATAATTTCAGGAGTTTGTCTTTCAGGAGTTTGTCTTGTCAGGAGTTTGTCTTTCAGGAGTTTGTCTTTCCGGAGATTGTCTTTCAGGAGTTTGTCTTTCAGGAGTTTGTCTTTCCGGAGATTGTCTTTCAGGAGTTTGTCTTTCAGGAGTTTGTCATGGCACCTATCCTCCAACTCTACAAGTATCATCCAACTCAACCAGTATACTCCAACTCTACCAGCATACTTCAACTCTACCAGTATCCTTTAACTCTACCAATATCCTCCAACTCTACCAGTATCCTCCAACTCTACCAGTATCCTCTTTTCCTCCAACTCTTCTACCAGTATACTCAAACTCTACCAGTATCCTCAAATCTACCAGTATCCTCAAATCTACCAGTATCCTCAAATATGTTCTCTTTTAAAACACAATTTATGCAAAACCCAGTATATAATATATATCTTCTCTCTGAAATCCCATCTATGAGCAAAACCCAGTTTATAATGTATCTTTTCTTTAAAATCACATATTTATGAGGACAAATATATTTATGAGGAAAAAACTCTGTCTATAGCTCTCTTAAATCCTATATTTATGAGGAGAAAACTCTGTCTATAGCTCTCTTAAATCCTATATTTATGAGGGGAAACACTGTCTATTGCTCTCTTATATCCTATATTTATGGGTGGAAACACTGTCTATTGCTCTCTGAAATCCTATATTGGTGGGTGGAAACACTGTCTATTGCTCTCTTAAACTCTATATTTATGAGATGCAAACTCTGTCTGCTCTCTTTAATTCTATATTTATGAGGCGAACCTCTGTCTTTTGCTCACTTGAATTCTATATTTATGAGGAGAAACTCTGTCTTTTCTCACTTAAATTCTATATTTATGAGGCAAACCTCTGTCTTTTGCTCACTTGAATTCTATATTTATGAGGGGAACCTCTGTCTTTTGCACACTTAAATTCTATATTTATGAGGCAAACCTCTGTCTTTTGCTCACTTGAATTCTATATTTATGAGGCGAACCTCTGTCTTTTGCTCACTTAAATTCTATATTTATGAGGGGAAAACTTTGTATATTGCTGTCTTTAATTTTATATTTACGATGGGAAAACTCTGTCTATTGTTCTCTTAACTACTTTATTTATGAGGTTATAAAGGGAAAATTCTCTATATTGCTCGATTAAATCCTTTATTTATGAGGTTATAAGGGGAAAACTCTGTCTATTGCTCGATTAAATCCTTTATTTATGAGGTTATGAGGAGAAAACTATGTCTATTGCTCGATTAAATCCTTTATTTATGAGGTTATAAAGGGAAAATTCTCTATATTGCTCGATTAAATCCTTTATTTATGAGGTTATAAGGGGAAAACTCNTATTAAGGTTTCATTTTAAAAGACATTATAAATAACGTATACAGTCCTTTTAGGCCTTCTAGCGGTTTCTAGAACAATTCTTGAATGAATCCCACGTGTAAGATGCGCCACGATGTCTGGCGACATGAAGACAATATTTTAGAGGAGTAGGACTGAGGAAAAGATAGATAGATAGATGACCATTTTTTGGGGTTCCAGGACAACAGAGGGGGGGGGGGTAAGTTTTAATAGGTCATTCACCTGAAACTGTTGAATTTTTACTTCAAAGGTATGCCACGAATGTTTAAAAAATATACCAATAACGACAAAATAAGAAAATCAACTTGTCCAGAACAATTAACTATGGAGGAATGAGCAATAGACATTAGACATTGAGAAATAGAGAAAAAAATGTTTTAACTTTAAAAAGTTTATATTTGATTTATTACATGATAGAGAGATCGTACAATGCAAACTGTATTCTGTACATTGTACATTGTAAACAGTAAACTGTATAGTGTTAAATGTATGTTGCAAAGTGTAATCTGAACAAGGTAGACTGCAAGGTGTACGGGAATTAACTATACGGTGTAATATTTTAACTGTACACTGTACACTGTATACTGTATAGCTGTACACGAGTAGATACTAGTTTTATATATTCTATACACTTTGGCTGTACAGTGTAAACTGTATTAAGTACTGTGTAAAAGTGTACAGTGTAGTGTATGTAGCAAACTGTACAGCATAAACTATATAATGTACAGTGTAAACTGTATAATGTAGAGCATAAACTGTATAATGTACAGTGTAAACTGTATAATGTAGAGCATAAACTGTATAATGTACAGTGTAAACTGTATAATGTAGAGCATAAACTGTATAATGTACAGTGTAAACTGTATAATGTAGAGCATAAACTGTATAATGTATAGTGCAACTGTGTACTGTGTGTAAACTGTATAATGTACACTACTGTGTAAACTGTGTACTGTACAGTGTATATAGAAAACTGTACAGTGTATATAGAAAACTGTACAGTGTATACTGTGAACTGTACAGTGAAAAATAAAATCATTGTTTTAATATTTTGTATTTATGAATTTAGCTGAGTAGGAAGAATGAAATTAAGATTTGTTTGCTGGAGAAACCCGATTACGGGTTAATAGGCGGCTTAAAAATACCGCGGAGAGCTTTTTGTAAAATATTTAGACAATTGTAAACCTTAGATTTAAGATAAGGGAAGTACTTTCCCGGCCCAACCAACAGCATTGTTGCATGGACCGCGGATCCAGATTTATTGAGAAATCTGTCCTAAAAGATAAAATATCAGAGACGAAATATATTCTACACAAATATTTTTAAGCGTTGAAATCTTTTATTAATTTTAATCGTTTGTATTAATTGTTTTATTTTTGTGATTAAGTGTGAATATAGTTCCTGCAGGATGGAGGTGGAACCCCTTGGAATCTTCCTGGACGAGTTTTCTAAGCATGTATATTGTATATTGTATAGACTTTATAAACGCCATAACCCTGGTTCATAGGAACTGGTGACTTTTCAAAACTTTAACTTTCTAATCCCTTTATCTTTGAAACTAGATGAAGTAAATAATATTTCAAACTTTGACTATTTGTTATAGGAAAACTAATGGTTTGACATGTAAAAGGTTTACGTTATCAGGATGCAAAGATTAAAATTAAGAAAAATAGAGTTTGAGGCTAGTAACCACTTACTTTCTTACAAATAAAACTATTAAATAATACTGAGAACAAAAGCTATACATTTTACATTACTTAATGGACAAACTGAGCACTTGCATCAAACTCTATGTTTATAATCCTCATTGCAACCTAATATTGTGGAACTTTGATATTCTTAACTATCAATTCAGTTAGAACTAATAATTAAGTTCGAAATATTAAAGATTTACAACTACAGGTTGCAAAGATATAGGGAATAAAAATTTGAGTCTGAACCATGTTATTAAGTCGTTTATTTATGGCTTTTTTTGGCTCAGCTACATTTTGCCTAATCAAAATTTGCCTTGACACATTTTGCCTAGTTCAGATTTGCCTAGGTAACATTTTGCCTAGTTTAAGATTGCTTAGTATCATTTTGCCTAGTTAAGGCAAGAGCAAGTTTTTTGCCGATTGCTTTTTTTCAAACAGATGTTGTCAAAAATTAGACATTTTTTTAGGCTGAACCAGTTACATACAAATGAATTAAATGTTTAGGACAATTGAAATGTATCTTTTCTAGGACTTTTTACATTCCAAATACCATGACTTTAAAATTATGAAGATTTTTGATTCTCCTCTACGTTAAAATTAGCGTGTATTTACTCCACAAAAATAAAATGGTTATGTATCAGAGCTGTATATTAAAAATACAGTTTTGCATTATGGTGCAAGGGTTTGAATATAATCAACTGAATTTTGAAAAAGTTGCAGAGTTTTTTTATGAAAATTTCGCGGATTTTTGAAAATTTACTTTGTGAAAAAATTATTTACCAGGCAAAAAAATCGCTCTTATGTTACCCTAGGCAACATGTTACCTAGGCAAGGCGTTATCTAGGCAAAATGTGACCTTGGCAAACTGTTACTCAGGCAATATGTTATTATAGCAAATGTGACTAGGCAAAATGTAGCTGAGCCTGTGTCACAAACTTAAATTTACTCATTCTTACAGATTTGCAAGCTGAATATGTAAACTGTTAATATTTCAAACTTTGATTATTTGGTCTCACAGAATTCATAGTTTGAAATATCTAAACTGCGACATTGGATTACACAGATGAAGGAATTAGACAATCAGAGTTTGTGGCAAAATCCATTCTAGTTTTGTTTTGAAGTAATTTTATTATATCTGAAATTTTTTTTAATCGCTGAAAAAATACTAATGAATTGCCCACGGATTGCTTAACTGACTAATGGATTTCTTTGATTTCAGGCATTTTCAACGAATACACTAAAACTTGTAACGGTTGCTGAGATTTTAAGCTAATCGTACTTTTTAAAATTGCAAGTATGCAATATTAAGGTTTCATTTTAAAAGTTTCTTCTTGCAATGACAATCTAAGTCTTTTCGAATTGAGGCATTTCTAAGAAGAGTGCAGTTTTAAATTTCTTTTAGATAAAATGGTTAAATCAACTTTTAACACAAAATAACTAGAATAGTGTTGGGTGTTTTGATAAGACTTTTTTAAGCTTTTGGACACATAAAAGGTTCAAGAAGATTTATAGATTTTAAAATCGTTTTTTTTCTAAACATTTGCTTCGTTTTTGAGTCGGTTCACGCAAATACCTTTATGTCTTGTGAGAAATGTTTAAAAAACAAGTTTTGAAATTTGTGAAACTTCTTAAAAATTTTTTTAACCTTTTATTTCTTTTAAAATCAAATGCCCAACACTTCTTTTGAACCTTTTTTTTCTGAAATATCACAATTTTGGCCATTTTCAAGCTGTGCTGTAAACATCTACGTGTGGCGGCGTAGTGGCGGAAGACGACGAGACTTCTGGAGTTTTGAATCTAAAGATCTAGACGCGGCAGGACGAAGACTTCCGGCCACGTCACCTATCTATCTATTGAATATTTTTACGTTTTTGATAAATTTAGATATTTAAGTTTAGTAATAAAGTAGTTATTTAAACCTTTTTTATATTATAGTCGTCAAGATCACGCAATATCACACAAGTCTCAGTTACATGAGTGCAAATTTAACTATTCAAATCGAAAAATGTACATATGATATAATAACAATACTGTTTCTGCATGTATAATAGTGGTTCATCAATAATATTACTGTCATAATTTATGCGACTAACATCGTCCCTGGAACTCGGACAAACATTTGAGACGATTTCTCTCATTCAGATTTACTAACGAGGAGTAGAAGGTCCAGCCTGAGGGTCGGCCATGGTCCTATCCTCTTCTCCAGTCTCGCTAGTGTCGCTGTCCTCCTCTGAAGCTAGTGGATCATCTGGGTCGCTTGCCCTCCTCTTGCTGGATCTGCCAGCGGTGGGTGAATCTCTTCTTGTACGCTTCTGACCACGAGCTGCACCCTCAATGATCCCGCCCAAGGCCTTGAACGCATGATCAAACTTGCCCTCTGACTCAGATCTGTCCACGTTGAATAGCTTCATCAATGATACATAGTCAGCCTTACTGACGGTGAGGGCAGTGTCACTGGCGCCCATAAGCGCTTTCACCTCTGGGGTGACCTCGAGGACCTTGTCTTTCGTTACCTTACACAACTCGTCAAATTCAGCCGAGTACCCGTGGTGCTGCTGGTAGCGAGGTTCCGGTCTGTTGTTCCTATTCTTGATGGAGATTAAGGGAGACGCGGTCATAGTGCTCGAGGAGGCTTTATGGAATAGGAATGATCCTATAAGGCCGAGGGGAACGGCTATCTGCATGACCCTGGTCTTGTCTCCTCTGTGCGTAAGATACATCCTTCCCTCGTGGTTGCGCATCCTCGGATCTACTGCTTTGTTGCGCTTAGCCGTCTGAACATCATCTAAGAATTTCTGATATTCAACGGCGCAATTCATAGCGTCCTCGAATCCAGGGGCCACCAGCCACAGCATATTCCGGTGATACAACTTGATGGCCGAAAACAAGAGTGCTGCTTTTGCCATCCCAGCGGGGGCAGCGTCGCAGCGCAGCTTCATGTCCTCGGCAAGCTTCGCGGTATCGATGGGGCTGCCGCTAGGGTGCGCAGCAACTCGGACCCCAGTCCTCATTCCCATCAGATTCATGCATAGATGGGTGCTGGCCCAGTGTCCTACCTCCCATATCGCATCCTTGGCCGTCTCTGTAATGGAGGTTTCTGTACCTTGCATCATCTTGCAAGAGTTCATAGCCATCTTGTTGATGAAGGTCGTAGCATGACCTTGACCAACGTGATGATTGGTTGTGAACCAGTTGAACTTCGATGCGATGATGAGAGTGAGGGCCCTTCCCGCATTCTCGGACGTACTATAGGTCTTCAGCCAGCCGTCGCCAGTCTGGGATTCAATTGCAATCCTCATTGCTTCATCCATCTCATTACGGTCCATATCTCTGGAATCTTGAGCATGGTCATCAAAACCGTAATAAGATTCGAAACCTCCATCCCTCAGCATGACAAGGGGGTACTGTGGATCGGAGGTATCTGTCTCGGACAAATACCCCTCAGGAACTTGAGTAGCTATCACCCCCCTCAGAGTTGCCCTGCCACCTTCGATGTTTACTATGTCCCTGGGGTTGGGCTCAAAGTACCACACAAGTCCAGCATGGACGGCCGTAAAGGCAGCGGACACCTTAAATCCCTTGCAGTAGTCCTCTTTGCTGAGGGTCTCAAACCTCCTGCCGGTGATGCCCTCACGTTTTGCGATCAAGGCCGCATGTGCCATGGCCATGAGTATCCCGCTACCCTTCTTCTGTGACTCGACGACAGTCCAGTCACTAGTGGATTGGGCCTCATCGGCACATCTGTACACGAGATGGGGGGGAGCCAGGGGCAATTTGGCGCTTTCCTTGAGTCCCGCGTCGCCCTGTCCAGCCAGGCCGGCCGCTAGGCTGCCATTAATCTCGTTGCAAAATTTCCCTAGGCTCTCTAGGATTCCTCGGGGGATCGAAGAAGACATCGCAGATTACCTGTCTTTAGATCTGGGGCTAAGGTATGACTATTATCCTGGCTGTTCCTGTTCTCCTACTGTTTCGTCTTTATCTATAGTTTCTCTTTTGGAAGTGAATCAAGCAATATAAGCTTGGTCGTTCTAGTACCTGAAGTGCTCCGCAAACCTCTGTTTCAAGCTCTTCATAATATCTCTCATCCTGGAGTCAGAGGCTCACGGAGGTTAATCTCAACACGTTTTGTCTGGCCTGGATTATCTCGTGATGTCGGGTTGTGGACCAGGTCTTGCCTCCGTTGTCAACAGAGCAAGATTCAGACTCATGTAAAGTCCTCCGTTCCTGCCATTCCTGTTCCTTCACGGAGGTTCTCTCACGTTCACATCGACATCGTTGGTCCTCTGCCTTCTAGTCAAGGTTATTCTTATCTGCTGACAATGATTGACAGAACTACACGCTGGCCTGAAGCAGTACCTTTGTCCTCCATCTCTACTGAGTCCTGTGTGAGAGCGTTTATCTCAACCTGGGTTTCCAGATTTGGAGTACCTTCTACGTTAACTTCCGACAGAGGTGCTCAATTCACGTCCTCCGTCTGGGCCGGAGTTTGCCGAATCCTGGGTATTTCTCCTTCTCAGACAACGAGTTTCCATCCTCAGTCAAATGGTATGATCGAACGTTTCCATAGATCTCTCAAGTCTGCTCTCCGAGCCAGATCTTCTGAGCGTAGCTAAATACGAATGATTCTGCGACTGTAAATTTTTCAGTCCCTTTCAGCCATCAGCCTTAGAAGTAGTTCAAAGTGTTCATTGAAATATTTCATGCCTGGAAAATTCTTTCAAGTTTTCTTTTCTTCAAGTTTTTAAAGTGTAGGTGAATTAAATAATAATTTGATTAAGCATTAAAACATAAAAATATGTATTTTATATTAGTACAAATGATTTCGAGAAAAAATCATTCTCAATTCAAATATTTTATGAAGTAGATTTTCTACTCTGTGGCCACTACAAAAACACAACACATGTCCCTTGAAAACTTCATTTTATCAATGAAGACAATTGGAAAATTTTATTTCATAGTTAAAGTAAATTGACTTTTAACACGAAAATGATCATTTTTAGGTTGTATATGATGCCCTTGAGATCGTAAGTTATCAACTTTCGGACACATAAATAATAATAACAATATACAGCGCCAATGGATATTGAGTATCGAATAGATTCCCGGTTTGTGGCGTATACATTTGACCGGTATGGGGGTATAAAGGATGAGTATGCCCATGTTAACGATCTTTGTGTCAAGATGGCTGGAGTAGGTCTGGTAAGTCCATTTTCTTTGTTTCAATAGTTTCACATAGGGCTGGATACTTTAGGACTTTTTTAATCCGTTCCTTGCCGGTTCGTTAAATTAGCATAAAGGACAGACACATTGTGCTGCCATTAGTTTTTTAACTTTAATATTTGAACGTTGAGTTGAAATTTCCTGTTATGTCCGCTTGTTAATGGAACTATTTGTTAATTTTATAAAATTTTCAATAACGACATTTTGCTGAGTAGTAGTTACCAGTGGCCATTTATAACTTTTTTGGGCTACTAGATTATATATGTAAGCAAAGGCATACAAATTCACAAAATTTTCCGTTTTTGAAAAAAGTATTTTTTAAATTTGCGTTCAATAACGGTTTTTTGCCCAGCTCTACTAATACCTATTGATAAATTTGTTGTGCTTTATATCTGCGAATATAATTTTTTCAAGGTATTGAGTTTTTGCCAAAAACGCAAATGTTCTAATTCCTAAATCGTTATAACATGATTGTGTAAACCTTTGATATTTCCAAAGTACACTACTTTATCTACCAATATTTATAGTTTAAAATATCTAAGGTCTGCGGATTAGAAAATAAGAGTTTGTGGCAAAAACTCAATTCCTTTGTTTAAATTAACGGAAAGGAATTGAGTCTTTGCAATCCCAATATCTTTAAAACCCTGTGGTGTAAACCTTTGAACAAACTAAATTTGAATTTAAAAAATTCAGAGTTTGAAATATCTAAGGTCTTACGACATTAACCCTTTAAAGGCGGGGGTTTAAAATAGGTATAGGGTTGAAATGCATGTTCATAGCCCAATTTTACACGGCCAGCTCAAAGAAAAAAGTTAGACCAACAACTTCAATAGTTTGGGGGCTAGGGAGGGTGGAAAAAATGCCTAAAAAAGGGTCGAAAAAGTGTGACACATGTTTCTACATGCAATTTTCAAGGGCTTTTCAAAAATATAGTTTTTTGATCTGTAGTTTTAGTCACAAAAAATGTAGGGGCTATTTTAGATTTTTTTTTCACAGACCGGACTTTTTTCCGCCCTGTACCCTACCCTATAAATAAAAAATAAAAAATTTATCAAAAAATCCTTTAAATTATTATTCATTAAAAGTCACAAAATTTCACGGGGATAGTGTCAAAAATGAGAGTGCTTGGACAAAAAACCCCCCCCCCCCCAGTCTGTTTAGGGTTAAGTTTAAAAGATGAAGGTATTAGAAAATCAGATTTCGTGGCGAAGACTCAATTCTTTTCCGTTAATTGTTTACAAAATATTTTTTATTATGGATATTACCCGGTTCTGTTTTTAAAAGATGAAAGGAGCCAATTATAAAAGAATCTGGGTTTTAAGATTTTTTTATTTTTCATTTTTGTTCAATCCAACTTGCAGATTTGTGCTCGAAAATCTAAAGAAGATTTAAAATAACTCTATCCCCCCCCCCCTCTTATTGGCTCTGGATTAAAAAAGTTTTTTATAGATTCTGTTGGCTTGTGTGGGTCTGGGAGCCGTAAATGGAGCGCCCCAAGAACGGAGTGTAAACGGAATAGTTCAAGGAACTAACAGTGCTGTCGGAGGTATTTTTAATGGAGCCAATAATCTTGTTGGAGGAATTGCATCAGGTGTAGGAGGAGCTATTGGGGGTGTAGCATCAGGAACAGGAACAGCTGTAGGAGGAATATTTTCCGGAGTAGGAGGTGCTGTAGGCGGTGTTGCTTCAGGAACAGGGTCCGCTGTCGGAGGAGTAGCATCAGGTTTGGGCGGAGCTGTCGGAGGAACTGCAAATGGGTTCGGAAATGCTGTCGGAGGAACTGCAAACGGTTTCGGTAATGCAATCGGAGGAACAGCAAATGGCTTCGGAAATGCTGTCGGAGGCACTGTAAATGGCTTTGGCAATGCTGTTGGAGGAACAGCAAATGGTTTTGGAAGTGCAATTGGAGGTACCGCTAGTGGCTTTGGCAGTGCTGTTGGAGGAACTGCAAGTGGGTTTGGAAGTGCTTTTGGAGGAACTACGAGTGGTTTAGGTAACGCAATTGGAGGCACAGCAAACGGTTTTGGAAATGCTATTGGAGGAACTAACAACGGGTTTGGAAATGCCATTGGAGGTACAGCAAATGGATTTGGTAACGCAATTGGAGGCACCGCAAATGGTTTTGGAAATGCATTCGGAGGAACTGCTAATGGATTTGGAAGTGCCATTGGTGGAATTAATAACGGATTTGGAACTGCTGTTGGAAGCACAGCGAGTGGATTTGGAAACTCTGTTGGAGGATTTTCTGGACAAACAACCTGGAGTAGACCAACATATTTTTCAAATTCTAGCCCAATATACACTGTATCCAATTCTTCTTACTTTGTATCCAGGCCTTCTTATTCTGTATCCAGGCCTTCTTATTCGGTATCCAGGCCTACTTATACTGTATCCAGTCCGATCTATACAGTCTCCAACCCTAGTTTCTCCAACCCAAGTTTCTCCAACCCAAGTTTCTCCAACCCAAGTTTCTCCAACCCAAGTTACTACAACCCAAGTTTCTCCAGTATTTCCAACTCTGGTTTCTCCCGTTCCTCCAACTATGGTAATACCTTCTCCAAACCTGTTGGGACCGTCTCAACTGACTCCGGGTACTCTCAACAAAGTGTAGGCGGATATGACGGATAACGCAGATAAGGAGACAAATAGGAACTATCTGGTTCAGGAAATGGGTAATTTAAAAATTGTAAACCTTCCGATTCAGGGAACGGAATTTAAGCTTTTTGTTAATAAATACATCTATTTTTTTGTTTTACATACAAGTAATATTTATTATTCTGAATCTAGTTATTTAATTGCAATCTTTTTCGCATCCTCAAAAATTGCAAATATATTGCAGTCTTTTACAGAAAAAAAGTTGTTTTCGAACAAATGTTTTTCAGTGTAAGCATTCATAGAAGAATGATTTCGAAATCTTTAGAAAAATCGAGAATTGTTTACAGGTTAAAAAATCAAATCTGAGCTAGAGAATGTGAAAAAATGTACAAGTAACGAATATTGTTGAATGTAAAAAGCGCTTTCTTTATTAAAAGATAGAATTGCTAATTGCGAAAAAGAATTGAGTCTTTGGAACAAAATCAAATATTTAAATCTCAATATCTTTAGAACTCGATGTTGTAAACCTTTGATATTTCAAACTCAGATTATCTGATCTAACAGAATTCATAGTTTGAAATATCTAAGGTCTGTAACATTTGGTTCCAAAGATATAGTGATTAGAAAATCAGAGTTTGTGGAAAAGACTCAATTCCTTTACATGAATTACATGCAAACTTTAAAATCACTCGGTAGTAGAGCTTTTAGATCAATACGATGGCAGCTATCAGGGGTTTAGAACAATTCCGTGGTTTTGAGAGATCTCAAGGCTCGGAAGGATCGCAAAGGCTTGGAGAGATTCAGGAGGTTCGGGGGGAGAATTCCTAGTGTTTGGGTTTGAAAGATCACAGAGCCCGAAACTTAAGAGATGGTATCGTTATGAAACCCGGTATTGGAAATCGGGATAAGTCAATTTTATAAATAATAAATCAGAAATATCTGTTCAAAATATCGAAATATCTGTTAAAAATGTCGAAATATCTGTTCAAAATATCGAAATACCTGTTTAAAATATCGAAATATCTGTTCAAAATATCGAAATATCTGTTTAAAATATCGAAATATCTGTTCAAAATATCAAAATATCTGTTCAAAATGTCGAAATATTTGTTCAAAATATCGAAATATCTGTTCAAAATATCGAAATATCTGTTCAAAATTTCGAAAAATCCGTGAATTTTATTTTGATAACGCAGTTTTTTGAAATATATCAGCAATCCCTTTAAGAAAGCAAATAAACTCTAGTTTAGTATGCATAATTATGGATAAAGTTTAACCGGAACTGTGAATATGTTAAAACCAGAACTATATTCAAGACTCCATACTAGCGTACATCATATATTATTCAAATTCAATCTAAATGTTAATCTAGTATTCATCTACTTGACAAGAAAGTTTTGAAACTATTTCATTTTTATTTTATTTTGTTTCTTATTTTATATATTTTTATTTTTGTCATCATAGGTCAGCAGTTTATCTATCTGGCAAGTTTCTATTTCTGAGATAAATTACAGATTTAGTGGTTTACTGAACTGCGCAGACACAGGGCTGCAAAAAGTTTGGTTGACGAACGGAAGTATTTAAAAATTAACGGAAGTATTTAAAAATTAACGGAAGTATTTAAAAATTAACGGAAAATTCTGTTTTCAGACGGAAAACTCAGTAACTGAACGTAAAAGTCTAGTTATTATAAAGAAATGGCCCGGAAATCAAATATCGAAATAATATTATAAAAAAACTTCTGGAAACAGAAAATCAAATATTGAAATAATATTATAAAAAAAACTTTTGGAAACAGGAAATCAAATATCGAAATAATATTATAAAAAACTTCTGGAAACAGGAAATCAAATATCGAAATAATATTATAAAAAAAACTTCTGGAAACAGGAAATCAAATATCGAAATAATATTATAAAAAACTTCTGGAAACAGGAAATCAAATATCGAAATAATATTATAAAAAAACTTCTGGAAACAGGAAATCAAAGCAATGACAATATTTATTCCGCTTTCAAGATAATCTAAAACTTTTTGAAATTTAATGAATAGGAATTTAATTTTTTAGTTGAAACGTTTATGATAATTGAAAGATTGCTTTTCGTTCTGAGTGACAATTAAACAGTATTTAAAAATGTTGTTTTACCATTTTGCAGTGATTACTAGAAAACTATGGAATAGGAAGGCGACATTTTACCAATAACTACAGGGTGATTAAAAAAAGTGTGATTAGCGGCGTCGGGTGTAAAATTGTACTTTTTTGTGCAACTCTCCTGTATGATATTTTTCAATATTTTTTGGGATTTTTTATTTTTGGTACTCCAATGTCCCAAAAAAATAAGACTAGAACTGACAATTGGGAATTTTCTTCTTATAATTTTGCAAATTGTCTGTGATTCTGTGATTCAATCTTTATTAAATTTTAGAATATTTGCTTTTCTGAACTTTTGATTTTGAGAGAAAAAAAAGTTTCACGGTTTTTCGTTTGACCATTGGAGTACCAAAAAAATTTAAAAATATAAAAGACTGTGGGAAAAAATACCATAAAGGAGAGTTGCACAAAAAAGGTACAATTTTGCATCAGACGCCGCTAATCACACTTTTTTAGACTCATGCTGTACGTTTTGATGTTGTTACAAAGCTTAACTCTTATCAAATCACTAATTTAGTGAAATTGGACTTTTACACTGTACAACGGTTGTGTGTCATGTTCATTGGACTTTTTAAAGTTATTACTTGATTCTAAAAGTCGTCTTCATATTTCTGATTATCACCATAAGTAAGCGTATCCATTAGTTTAAGAAGATAATTAATTTATTTTAATTTTTTTTGGATAAAAAAACAATCATGAATCCCAGAATTAAGAAAAGACGGCACGAATTGAGCTGAATTTCTGATATAATATTACATTATTCTAAACACGAACTGCTGGAGAAATGCTTTCTAAAAGCTTGTGTGTGTAGATAAACAAAACAAAACTTAAAATGCAATCAAACTTTTAGGCAAAAATAATCTCCAAATTTGATGATAAAAAAAATTCATCTCTTTTGACATGAGGATAATTTAGAATCCCGTTAATGCTTAGAACTACCAGACTCGTAGCGAAGGAAGTCATAGGGTCACGTGTTTCCATTTTTACGGGGGGGGGGGTACATTTTCTGGGACAAAAAGAAACAAGAGAATGAAGATAATGAAAAGAAGGAAACAAAAAAGGAAAAAAAAGAAAAGAAAAAAGGGAAAAGTTTTCTTTAAAAGCATTTCTAATATTTTGAGCACAGAGAAACTTATCTTCTTTTTTCTTTTAATAAGTTTCTGATCAACCATCTTACAGCAAAAAGTAACAATACGAGAATACGGAAACAAATTAAAATTTAAGATGGAATTTCTTTGAACAATTATACTCCAACTTTCAGGTGCAGTTTGATAAAATAATATTTTTTGGAAAACTGAACATTTTCATGATTTATTTTGAGTTTTTAACGGTAATTATCCTTCTTTGATGTTATTTTCCTTGTCATAAAATATTTTTCGGCTATTTGTGCAAGTAAAATATTCTCTGTAAATACTTTCATTTATTTATAGCTTCAAGCCCTGAACTCTAATCACCTGCACCTAATATCTATTCTGAACAGAGTTTACTAATGTACGACATCATTATTTCTTTAGCATATATAGCAATTATTAAAAGACAATTTTTTTATTATTCAAATACAAAATATCATTTTAATAGCTTGTTAAAGAACGAAGACATGTTTTTAAACAGATAAAATATCTATCTAACATATCTATCTAAAATATCTATCTAAAATAAATTAATGTGTGGTTTTTTGTCTTGATTCTTAAATCTCAACACTTTCTCAGGTTAAGGTCAAAAGTTTACGCCTGCGCCAAGCACATCTTCTAAATAATAACACCAGTGCATGCACTTCACACTTACATCGAATGTTGAAAATAAATTTAAAATAAACAATGTTACTTTTTTTTGTAGATTTCCAACGGAATTGATCGTCTTTGCCATTTGCATCCCAAAGTCGTAATTCAAACTATAATTTTGTAAATAATCTGCGTTTTAAACATTAAGGTTTACACTCAGGTTACAAGGATAAAGGGATTGGAAAATTTGAGTTTGTGGCAAGGACTAAATTTCTTTGTCTGAAATAGGCCATTCTTTTTCATGGAACATTGCGACTGCAAACCATGTGATCTGTAAAGGAAAAATGAAAGGGGGTATAGGCTGAAAGCTAATCACTTTAGCTCTTGATCGCGACCCATGACAGTTTTATATGATGTTCCTGTCATTTAATTTAAATTAATACTTTATATGGTTGACAAAATTTTTATTTATTTTACAATATATTTAAAATTTAAAAATCACAATTATTCTGTATAAAAATTAAGATTAAAATATTTTAAATGCTTATTGTTTTAAACAACTTTTACTTAATTAATTTATCACAAAACCTCGATCTGTAGACCTTAGAAATTGTCATTGTCACTTAAAAAGATGCAAAATTCTATCAAAATAACATTTGTAACATTCAAATGTAGAGATTTGCAAAACCATGAAGCCAGCAATATATTATATGAGATATTTTGTTTATCATTCAATAATATTGTTCACAAAATATATCTTTTAAGAAAGAAACTGAACACACAAAAATAAATTTTTCTAATTTCTTTATCCGTGTAACCTTATTTTGTCAGATCAAATAGTCATTTTTGAATTATCTAAGGCGGCCTACACCATTTCGTTGCAAATATAGAGGAATTAGAAAAATAGAATTTGTGGCTAGTGTTCAGTTTCCTTGAATGAAGTATATTTTGTTCCATCTGTACACTTATAATAAACTTGATTAATTTTACTAATGTTTTGCAAGCGGTATACTTTGGAGTAAAACTTATTAAATATAAATATATATTTTCCTTGGTTAATTTTTTTTATTTTTAAGGTTGAGAGACATTATTGGACTCTTTAAATGTGGGTGGGAAGAATTCATGATAGTTAATACTGCTGTCACTATTCACAATTTGACCGTTAAACCCGTGCACAATTGTGCGGTCATCGTGAACAGATCGGGCTTCACGTTCGTAAACAACTGCCGCACCGGCATCGGGACCACGGCGGCGGCGTTGGAATACAAATACGCCAATACTGATAACGCCAACAAGAATAACAGCACAGATCACACCTGAAAAAAGTAACGCATTATTATTGAATATTGATAAATTTTGCTAATAATTCAAAAATTCAATTCTAAACTATTATCAAAACCATCCTTCCGTAAAATAAATTTTAAGATGGAATTTATGTCATCAGCTGACCAAATGCATGAAAAACAATCGAAATGGACTTTAACATCATGTCATTTTATTTCGTTAATTCTATATTATTGATTTATTTGATCTCATCAAAAGATCAATATCTATTCTTGTTGAAAAGCGGAATGCTGTGTAAAAAAACTTGAGCAAAATCCTTTTGAAAAACTGTTCTATTTCCGTTTCTAAATGTTTTGAAAAACTGTTCTATTTCCGTTTCTAAATGTTTTGAAAAACTGTTCTATTTCCGTTTCTAAATGTTTTGAAAAACTGTTCTATTTCCGTTTCTAAATGTTTTGAAAAACTGTTCTATTTCCGTTTCTAAATGTGCTCAGGATGCAAAAAGAGAAAGTATTTTGATGATTAGACCTATATTCTGTTTTATAAATGAGCCTGACGGAAGTTAAATTAAATCGAAAAAAAAACAAATCTAAAAAACCATATTTTGTACCCTGTAATACTTATCCTGAAATACCTTCTATTTTCTACCAATTTCGATATACAGTGGTAAGCGGTTATATCAATACAACAAAGACGCCATTTTTATTTAAGTTTGATTGTTAACTAGCTTTTTTGAAATACAAGTTTACAGTAATCAAAAAGAAGCTTTTTTTTAATTGAGAGCTTCTCTGGACTTATATGTTCATGTGCATCCATGCTGTTTAACAGCTTGATATAAATCAAAATAGAAATCGAAGGTCGTCTTTATTGTATTGGTATAATCGCCTACCACCGTAGGAAAAAGGAACTGAACATATAACTTTCTAAGTCCAATATCTGTGCAACCATATTGTCTAAAGCTATAAACAAGGGAACAATAAAAAAGGGAAACTAAATTTTTCAATATTTTGTATTTTTAACCTCGTTACAAAAATCTAATTGTAAAAATCTAAGTAAAATTTTGATGTCTGTAGGAGGAAAATTTATTTGTACAATTTATTTAGTATTTACCTATGATTGTTGCTGTTGATGATACTTCCTCCTCTATCCTAGGAACAGCTTCAGGATTACTGGATACAGGATCCAGCATCAGAGAACTCTCAGGTTTACTATCCATACTCTCCAGGGTAGGGTCGGAGCCTGGTTTCGTCTCACTAGAACTCATTGTTGTTGGAAGCGGTTCAGAGCTAGTTTTAAATGTTGATGCTGTGGTTTTAGTTTCTGTAGAAGTAGAAGTAGTGGTTGTAGGAGTAGTTGGAGTTGTTGGAGAGGGGGGAGTAGGTGAAGTTATAGGTGTAGTTTCAGGTGCCGTAGTTGTTGTGGTCTAAAATTAAGATTTCGTATTCAAATTCCAAATTTATTATTATACAGTCGTCCCAATAAATATGACAATCCAAAGACGACCAAGTATAAGATTAAATTACATAGAACACTTTGGTGGAACAAGGACCATACTGTTAGATCAGTGTGGCAGGTTAAATATTACACTTGAACTTTTTAAAATTTTCATGCATAGTCGGGTACACTGTTATCTTTTAAAATGTAATGCACCAGCAAAAATATTATCTGTAGTTGCCCCTGAACCTCTAAACCTACCTGAACTGTAACATTCATATGTCCCTCTGCAGTTTCTCCTGAACCTGTAAACCTACCTGAACTGTAACATTCATATGTCCCTCTGCAGTTACCCCTGAACCTCTCCCTCCCAGGAATACATACTCCTCCATATGGCAAGTCCAGACTCCTAACAAATTTAATGATTTTCATAGAGGGCTAAGAAAAATATTAGACTTATAAAATAATGACTATGGAAAAGCTAAAATTTATAGAAATATGGCGAAGGAAACGCTAAGTGTTCGGACCCTCGTCAGTTCCAACGACATAATAACCATCAAAATCGATAAAAAAAAAAATTTTAAATTTTTAAAAACCACAAGAAAATAAACCAAAAAAAGATTATTAAAAAAATTTGGGCTGTCAATGGACATGGGAAATGAACTCAGATTATGAGATGGAAAAAAATAAAGCAAATATTCACTTAAAGAAAAAAATTGTTTCTTGGATTAAAAACAAACTGTTTAGATGTATGTGTATAAAGTGGTGGCTTGTTTAAGGAGGGGTATTTAAACCTTTTAAAGAATTGGACAATACTCTTCTTTAAAAAAAGATATTGAATTACAGTTTACAATTAAATAAAAACTAAGCTGAATAAGTGTGAAGTTTCAAAAAATAATTGCTATGCACTATATGAAAACGTGAAGTTTTATGGAAAAGCTATGGAAAAGCTAGGTTTTGTAGATGCAAAAGAAAACGAAACGTTTAATGGAATAATGGCTAAATAAGATTAAAGTTTTATTTAAAAATGGCTATGCATGATATAAAAAGCAAAGTTTTTTCATTTATTTTTATTTATATTCAATTTCAAGATTAATAGGTTAGAAAAATTAAATTTTGCTATGTACTTTCCAACAATCTCATATTTAATCTCACAAACTAGGAGAGATAGGAGAGAGAGTGAGACTCCGTCAGTTTTTTTTGGATTATGCCTTATCTCAGTTTTTTAACCCATTATACTTCTAAATATATAAAATTTGTAAGTTGAGTAAAGAAAAAGAAAAAGCAAATCCTTTAATCGGCTGAACGGCTGGACCGAATAAGCTGAAATATTTTGAGGAATCCAATGGGTTCCCTGGAAGTTACATAGACCAAAAAAATTTGAAATCTATTTTTCTAAAGTAGATCTTTTTTTTAAATCCCATGGGCAACACCGGACACTTCATCTATTAATAAAATAATGCTGACATCCCCCCCCCCCCCTCCATCATAAGAAAAGATTTAAATAAAGTTTTCGAAAACTTTGAATATTCACCTGTGTCCTCTGGTTTTGGATCTTTAATTGTAATCCCGCATTCTTTATCATTATATCTTCCATAGAACTCAACCCTGTCTCCTAGTCCGCACTCCTACACAACACAAATTTAAAATATAAAAATCTTGGTTTGGATTAATTTGAGAATTCTAGACTCCATCCCTCCTCTTCCCTTAGATAGATAAAACACACTAATACAGATTAGATTAAAACAAAAAATATTCACCTGTTTAAGAACTCCATTAAATGAGAGTAAAATATTCACCTATTTAAAAACTCCATTAAATGGGAGTAACATGTTCACCTGTTTAAAACTCCATTGAATGGGAGTAAAATATTCACCTGTTTTAGAACTCCATTAAATGGGAGTAAAATTTCAACTGTTTAAAAACTCCATTAATTTTGAGTAAAATAATCGCCTGTTTAAAAACTCCATTAAATGGGAGTAAAATATTCACCTGTTTAATTAATCCATTAAATGGGAGTAAAATATTCACCTGTTTTAGAACTCCATTAAATGGGAGTAAAATAATCACTTGTTTAAGAACTTCATTAAATGAGAGTAAAATAATCACCTGTTTAAGAACTCCATTAAATGGGAGTTAAATAATCACCTGTTTTAGAACTCCATTAAATGAGAATAAAATAATCACTTGTTTAAGAACTTCATTAAATGAGAGTAAAATAATCACCTGTTTAAGAACTCCATTAAATGGGAGTTAAATAATCACCTGTTTTAGAACTCCATTAAAAGCTCTCTTCCACTCGAAATCACAATCTGTTCCCTGGGGACTATAGAATTTACAATATTCCCAGTGTCCATCAGTTCCACAAAGTAAACTAAAAATACAAAACTTTTCAATTTAAAATTAATATAGTGGTAGGCGTATATATCAATACAGTGAAGAAAAATTTCGATGTCAATTTTGATTAAAATCAAATTGTTAAGCTTGTTTATAAACAAAACCTAATTTATTTATATAATCGCCTACTACTGTAGTTTCGAAGGATTTGACTAAATAATGATACACGTTTGCGTGAGCGCATTTACACTTGGATTTCTTTGCATCTTATATAATAAACCGTATAGATGCATTTTCGCTTCTTTTCCCACAATACTTTTTTGAAGACCACTGTACCATTTAACAAGGACCTGTTAGACAAGGCAATTCATTTAAAAAATGAGATGTTTGTGCAACTAAATAACTTATATTTAACATTTTCCATTATTTCCTCTGTAGAAAGATCTAGTATCGAAAAACTAATGTTGAATTATTAATGCTTTGTTGAAATTGATATGATAGAAGTTTTCTATTTCAGAATTTTATCTGACATGATACGTTTTAAACATTATGTGTTTTTGCCATCTCTAAAACCATTTGCAGATCAGCATCAAAATTAGTTTCTGTATTTCTTTATAAATATGATCTCCACATCTTTAAAACTTTTTGATCTCGACAAATGTAAACATCTTGTCTCTAAATCGTAAAATATGTTGATCTCCCAAATCTTTAAAAATCTTGATTTCCAGACTTGATTGAGATCAGCTTGACTTAGAAATTCCGATCTTCAACTTGTCTGATAGAGCCTAGGCTCTTGATGCTTTAGCGGAGAACATGATATGATCCGAATCAATATTCTTGACCCATCTAGGATTCAAGGGAAAAAAATTGGCACCGCAAAAATTCCATCACAAACAATGCAGGAAAAATGTTTCAAAAAGCCACATTAGAGAACTATGGTCAAGCAGAAATGCCTGAGTGGGAAGACCAAGCTTCCAAACATCAATGCTATAAAAAAATGAAAACAACTGTCAGTGAAAAAGTATCTTTTGAAAACGAAACTTTCTGGAGAGAACATACAGAAACACTCATAAAACAAGGACATTTTCTCTGCCTGGCAATGCTTGAAAAATCTGACATGATCTGGAAATCTTACATGTTCAATCTGAAGAAAGGTACACTAAAATTCCTACTCAACTCCTGTTTGGACACCCTGCCAACACAAACTAACCTTCTACAATGGGGAAAATCTGCATCAGATCTCTGTAAACTATGTCTACAGACAGGCGCTGAATTGCAAGGTAGAAGACAAGAAACTACAAACCATATTTTGAATGGCTGCAAGGTTGCACTACACCAAAAAAGATATACTTGGAGGCACAACAATCTTATTAAATATATAACTGGATTAATTGATATTGACCGATTTCTGATGTATGCCGACATCCCGTCCCATACCCTTCCAGGGGGAGGTACTGTTCCCCCCCACCTTTTTGTGACCGCAGAGAAACCAGATCTAGTAATTATCGATAGAATGGAGGAAAAGATGGATATTTTTGAGCTTACTGTCCCATTGGAAACAAATATCAAAAATGCCAACGCTCAAAAGATGAACAAGTATGAACATTTTATTACAGATATAACAACTAGGGATGTGTCTGTTCGTCCTTTTGAAATCGGCTCAAGAGGATATATCTCACCATCAAATAAGGCGATTCTAAAGAAACTGCATAAGTTCTGCAAACCCAGTGTTAGTTTCAAAGCAATGTGTGAAAATCTATCAAGCCTTGCTGTACTGTCATCATACCACATTTTTAGAAAATGAAAAACACTAGACTGGGACCAAGAAACCCCTTTTCTGAAAACCACCTCTGAATAGCTAAACTATACTCATGCTAAAAGTCTTGTATTGCACCTGTTTTGGCAAACCCTGTCAATTTTAAAATGCGATATCCAGAGAAAAGAGTTTTAGTTTGTAAACTTTTATATTGTTTAATGTAATTTTGCTTTAGACAAATATAAATGATAAATATATAACTGTTTTTATTAATTTCTTGAAAAATATAAAGTTAGTACAAGTTTTTAAAAGCCTGATTATTTCAAATTCAATTTTCCTACTCTCAAGAATTAAACTTTTATAGGAACTAAGAAAAAAAGTTTATTAAAGAAAGCTGTTTATTATTTTGGAGCAATTCATCTTTATTATACTAAGAATTTTTTTAGTGCAGGGTCGCATCCCATACCTCTAAACTATTCTGTTGGTGCGTACTGCAGTGATCTACCAGTATTTTTACAAAAAGAAAGTGGCTATTATAGGAGGATGCATTTTTTAATAACCATTTTTAAACTAAAAGTTTCGTATATTTTTCTGTTTACATTGATGGATTTTCAAACCAAAAAACATTTCCCCATTTTAACCTGCCATATACCTTCCCGTGGGGGATATCATGAGATACATGCAATATGAACTCAGAAATGTGCAATCTAGATATTAGAAAGAAGTTCTTCAGCTTAAGAGAATAAACATATTTCATCTTCAGTGTGAAAGATGTTAAGGGCGCCCAGATGCTCTATCAGTAGAAATAAAAAAGATATATTGAAAATGTCACCATAGTGATCTTCAAGCGAAAAATATTCCAGTAATCCAGTATTTCACAAAAAATGTGCAGCCGTTTTGACGTTTATTTTATTCAAACAATCAGTTAGACAGACAACGGGCAGCGGTAGCACATTTAAATTTCCAAGCTGTGTCAACCTTTCCGGTCCCAGTGTGTACTGTACCTAGCTCTATGTACAGGACTAGTCGGTGCAACAAGGTTGACGCGGTCAGACTTTATGCTTCATATAGGTTCAATTTACTTTAACTAAAGGGGCAGAGGTGCGTGAGACAAGCCAAATATAAATGTATTGATGTCCCAGCATTTTGTCTACTTCTATATATTTGTTTTGTCTAGATGCCAGGGCGCGTGTTTGTTATTTTGAGATGATTTAATCAAAAGACCCAATTTAAATAAAAATACAAAATAACATTCTTACATCGAAATTTTATCATGTTCCTTTATTGTATCCTAATTCAAAACATTCACCCATTGCAAATACACATAATTTTCTTTTTTTGAATTCATGATTTTCAGAGTGCACACTCTACAGAAAGTTACGAATATCTGCAAGCCGCAAGAGGTAAGATTAGTTTTAATCCTAAGTTCGTAGGTTAGGGTATTGTGTATTTAAAAAAAAGGAACAATCCTTTAAAATTTGAATAAAGAAAAGCCTACTGTTTCCCTGGTTGGTTTTTAACCAATAATCCCAACAAACCATAAAACTAAATCCTAATTCACTAAATATTATCCAGGGTAAAACAGGTACTATATGTACAGTGGCACCAAAAATTAAATAAATAGAATCCTTTTAAAGTTCTCCTTGTGTTATTCCCTTGCGTAATTAGAGATATATATGAGAAAACGAATCGTGAAAAAACATTAAGAAGAGGAAATGCAAGGAAAAAAGGCAGAAGAGAAGATGAAAAAAGGAACAAAAATACTGATAGACGAAAATATTGATAATAAAAAAAACATGAGTAAAAAAGCGCAGTATAATACAATTTAATTTTTTTATCCCCGCTGCCTTCCTCTTGGGTATGGACATGTCATAAACTTTTTTCATGATTACGACATCCATCTCAAAGAATCTGGCAGAAATGATTACAAAGAAGAAATCTCAGATATTAAAAAAATAAAATGATTGTTATAAAGGAATTGATTCTTTGTCACAAACTCAAATTTCTAAACCCTATATTTTTGCAACCTGAAGGTATGAACCTTTAATATTTCAAACTTAGATTAATTGATCCAACAGAATTCATAGTTTGAAATATTCAAGGTCTACGACACTGTGTTGCAAAGATGAAGGGATTACAAATCTGAGTTTGTGGCAAGGACTCAATTCCTTTATAAATTTTCATTATTAAACATTATTAAATAGTATAGAAATTAAAATTAAAATTGATTCAAATTTTTAAGTCAAGTTTTGTTTCCTAATTCTTTCTCCAGGTTGTGCTACAACCATACCAGGATCAATCTGAAAGCCCCGACTCCTCTTTATTTTTATTTTTTAAGTATCTCTAGGATTAATCTAAGCTTGAAAGGAACTAAATTATCAGGTTGGAAAATAACTGAGATGAAATGAAAATATGGAGAAATTAAGAATTTGAATTTGAAATCTTTCTCGAGTGTGCATTTTCAAATCGTAAAAAGTTGGATTTTTCTTTAAACTTCTGATGATAATATTTTCCATTTTAGTTGAGAGAAAACTTATTATTTAATTTCAATAAAATTATTTTGATCAAGTTTTTATCCAACTTTTACAAAAACTTCGTTTCGACTCAACAACCTTAAACTTTTCGGATTTTTAATAAATTGGTTTCATTAGCTTTAATTTATTTAAGCCAGGTAAGGAAACAGCTAAATCGTGTTTATTGGATAAAGAATTTCTGTCGCTTCGCACCACGTTTTGAATAAATCAAATTAAAACATTTGAATGAATGTCTAAAGAGTACAGTTCCTTGAGCATAGTGAATCCATTTAAACCGTTTAGAAATCCTGATTAAATATATATATATTTTTTTAAGAAAAAATATTTTCAAACACATTTTTTGGTGGAGAAAAAAGTGACTTTAGAAATCTAAACTACAAAAAAATAGCTATTTTATATTTTTTTCAAAAAACAGATTAATGGATTGAAATGCATATTTAAAAAGCTCTTTTTTGTTGTGTATCGATAAATATATATTTATATATTCCTAGAATGAGTAGAGAGAGTAAACCTGCTCCAAGCATGGTTTCACCTTACAGGATGAATCACACAATTTTATCAAGTCTTTGGTTTGGTTCCGGGTTAGATTCTCCTCCTCCTATAGTTCTCTATACTAGAGCATCACTATCTGAAATTAGATTCAGTTTTTCTTTTTTCCTATTTTTTCTTATTTTTTAATCTTTGAATTTAAAGGGAATGTTCACATAATTTCAAGTGACCCTCGGTTACAAAGTTACTAGGCCCTTTTTCTTTTTCTATTGTTAACATGTTCTCTTTGCATACATTGTAAAACAAATGCAAAAAAGTTCGCGGATTCTATAAAAAATACAAAATTTAGTTGGAGGCCGATTTTTTAATTTTGAACATCCATAAACCTTCCCTTGGGTCTTGTGAGGTCTAACACAAAATTTGGACCCAATCAGTTTGGTCGTTTTAACGTTGATTAGATACAAATAAACAAATTATATAGACAAGCAAAGTATATATTATATATAGATATGCTGTAAAACCTACGGTGATCAAGAGCGTCTCCTCTGCATCCTTTGAAGAAAATGTAATTTACAGAATTCTGCACCCCCCCCCCCCCTGTGCACATGCTGTACACTTTGAGCTTGTTATACCTCAAAGTGTACACACTGTACTAAACTATACAACTGTACTCTCACAAATAATTCAGTCTCAAGAAACCATGGTTAGAAAATTAAATCGTTTTTAGGATATGATCCTTAAGAGGAGTTTAGAAGTCCAAGAATATGGTCCCAAAAGAGTAGTTTAGAAGTCCATGGATGTGGTCCTAAAAGAGGAGTTTAGAAGTCTACAGAACCTGAACTAGGACATGGAGAAGACTCAGCTCTAAGAACACCGAGATATTGCAGTAAAAGTGTGTTAATTTCTTTAAAATTCCTATCAAATTTGTACTATAGTTTTCTCAAAATTGAATTATTTTAGATAAAACCAGATTTGACTAGAATAAATCACATATTCCTTGACATCTGCGAGTTATTTCTGTCCAAATCTTAATTCACAGGGTTTCTAAAACCGCCTTTGTTCTTAAGAAAGCATGATTTCCAACGGTTATACCCTTTAAGCCTTTATCTCAGTACTTTCTTTATCTCTTTGTCTTCGTTGCATAAATCCAGGGGTCAATTTAAAGAGAATCCAAAATTGGAAATTATTGAATTTGTGAAAGAAGAACGATTTCAAACTTTACGCCTTTTAAACTTTGCGACAAAGGGAGGGGGCGGAAACGACAGGGAATTGCAGAACTGTTGTAAATTAATTGAATGCGTAAATAGTAAATACCTCCCTCTAACTTTGGGCCCCCGGAATGCCAATTATACGTAGTTCATTCGTCAAGGTTTGATATAAATAAGTATTTGTAAATTGCATTTCAGTTCATTTGTCTTTTAATTAACAAGGGTAATTAATACAAGGGGGATGGGGTGGATGGTTTATATACACGCCCATCCTTCTAAGAATATATACCGACTTTCGTTTATGATATTTAAATCTAATTTTTTTAATTACAATCTGCTGATATACTGGTTTTCAGTTGAGCAATATTGCGAATTATTGAAGCTATTATTTAAATAATATGAATTCTACGGAATCAACTGGAATATCTTTAAAATGAGTCATACTAAACTATAACACCAGGAAGTTTAAAAATTTTAAAATCTAAACCAGAATTAACTCAATAAAATCAAAGAATCTTGCCAACTATACTTAATGTTGGAGATTAATTAGATTAAATGATTTTGGTTCTCACTGTATAATATATTTTAATAGTAATTGACAATTACAAAAATAAAACAAATATTCTCAACGTAAAGACATTTAGCAATAAAACAAATAACAGTTTCTCTTCTTAAATTTAGAAAATATTGTCCTTAATTGACACTGAGAAGGAGAAAGGAGAAACACTGATATAGGTGTAGGGGAGAGGGGGAGCCCGGCAGGAGAGGGGGGACGCGGGGAGATTGACCCCCTAATATGTACACCCCTGAATGCCAGTTCACCAACTTGGGTGCAGGATTTCCCGAATGTAATCTCACCCCCTTTTAACAGAATCCAAAATAAGGGAATTCCCGAGAAGTTTCCAAATGAAAAATTTAGGGAAAAAAAAACTTGAAACTGGTTTATTTAATGCCAAAGTAACTGCACTTTTCCCTATTTCGTTACAACCATAGACCTTAGCTATTGCAAACTATGCATTCTGATTGATCAAATAGTCTAAGTTAGTCTAAGTTACCAAAGATTTACACCATCAGGTTGTAAATGTAAAAAAAATATGAGAGGTTGTGACAAAAACTCTTATTTGCTTTAAACCGATTTAACTTACAAATTAGGAAAAGTGTGGTCCAGAAAGGTGTTTTGACTAAAAAGATCAAATATCTACTGTAGGTAGAAGGATGAATGTATGAATGAATGAACTACTAATGGTATGATAGTAATGGATGAACTACTGCAGGATGGTATGATAGTAATGAATGAACTACTGCAGGATGGTATGATAGTAATGAATGAACTACTGCAGGATAGAATAATAGAAGTGAATGAACTACTGCAGGATGGAATGGTAGTATCAAATGAATGAACTACTGCAGGATGGACTGATAGTAATACATGAATGAACTACTGCAGAATGGACTGATAGTAATACATGAATGAACTACTGCAGGATGGAATGATAGTAATAAATAAATGAACTACTGCAGGATGGAATGATAGTAATAAATAAATGAACTACTGCAGGATGGAATGATAGTAGTGAATGAACTACTGCAAGATGAAATAATAGTAATGAATGAACTACTGCAGGATGGAATGATAGTAATAAATGAATGAACTACTGCAGGATGGAATGATAGTAATGAATGAACTACTGCAGGGTGGAATGGTAGTAATAAATGAATGAACTACTGCAGGATGGAATGATAGTAATGAATGAACTACTGCAGGGTGGAATGGTAGTAATAAATGAATGAACTACTGCAGGATGGAATGATAGTAGTGAATGAACTACTGCAGTGTGGAATGGTAGTAATAAATAAATGAACTACTGCAGGATGGAATGATAGTAGTGAATGAACTACTGCAGGATGGAATAATATTAATGAATGAACTACTGCAAGATGGAATAGTAATGAGTGAACTGCTGCAGTATTGAATGATATTAATAAATGAATGAACTACTGCAGGATGGAATGATAGTAATACATGAACTACTACAGGATGGAATGATACTCCAATGAACAAAGAAATCTTAAAATCATGATTCAAACTTCAGCTGAGCAAAAAGTCAGGTTTACTTAGAACTGCATTGGCTTCGTTATCTATCTATGAGATATATTAAAAATAAAAAGCAAAAAATATTTAGATCTTAAAAGATTTATCAAATACTACATTAGGATGAGAACTAGAATGAGAACTAGGATAAGAACTAGGATGAGAACTAGGATGAGAACTAGAATGAGAACTAGGATAAGAACTAGGATGAGAACTAGGATGAGAACTAGAATGAGAACTAGTATGAGAACTAGGATAAGAACTAGAATGAAAACTAGAATGAGAACTAGGATAAGAACTAGGATGAGAACTAGGATGAGAACTAGAATGAGAACTAGGATAGAGAACTAGAATGAGAACTAGGATAGAGAACTAGAATGAGAACTAAGGTGAGAACTAGGATGAGAACTAGGATGAGAACGAGAGAACTAGAATGAGAACTAGAATGAGAACTAGGATGAGAACTAGGATGAGAACTAGGATGAGAACTAGGATGAGCATTAGGATGAGAAATAAGATGAGAACTAGAATGAGAACTTGGATGAGAACTAGGATGAGAACTAGAATGATGATCGAAAAAATTTAAATGAATTGTGGAGAACGTAGCTAGAAAGACCGGAAAAGCCTACTTGATTATAAACTAGTTTTCATCAAGAGTATTTACAGCAGACACTAATATCTACAGTGGTAAGCGTTTCTATCGATACAATGTAGACGAATTTTGTTTTTGATTTGCTTTTTTACAATATTATATTCAGTAGGAAAAATAAACAATAGAAGCTGCAAACCAAAAGGGATTTAATCTGATCTTTGTATACATGTTTATTTGTATATTCCTAATCAAGTTTGATAAAACCAATCATAAATTATACAGTTGACATCATTGTATTGATATAAACGCTAACCACTGAACTTTTTTTTGTCAATTGTCTCTAAATAAGTCTTCGGTCCAATGAAGGCCCTGAGAAATTGAAAGTGTTCCGCGCGCAAAGCACAAACTTTTTATTTATGTAGATGCCATTTTCTCTTTTAAAAATTACAATAACCAAAAGCTTCATATTATTCGTTTAATTGGGATTTTCAAATGAGCTTAGTACTCACTGACACAACACAGGAAATGATTGTCGGAAATTTCATTTTAGGATTTAAAAAAAGACATAAAAAATTATTTAAAAACTTTTCATTCTAATAACCCTCAAGGTTTAAAATAAATAAATATGACTTGATTTCTCCGTATAACTCAATTTTTCCAACCCTACCCATAAATCCTTGTAATACGAACCCTACCTACAAGTTAACTCAATCGAATATCTACATCTAAATATTCATATGTATGTATATGTATACAATTAGATTCTAATTAAGTACGTGTATAGCATATATGTATAAACTTGATGGAAAATTACCCAATCATTTGAATACACAATTGCTTTTACTTAAGAGAAATCTAACAGGAACAAATATTTCTATAAATTGTAAAAAAATCATAGATATAGATAGTTTAAATAAATGTCTGTTTTTATATTCAAGGTTGGGCAGGAAGGTCTGCTATAATTTCATGGTTGAAATATTTATCTGAAATCAAACTGAATCACTAGAGTAGAGAGAGAGAGAGAGTAGGAAGAACTGAGCTCTCCTTCTCTCCCAATCCACGACTGAAAGATTTTACAAAAACCAGTTCACTCTTCACTCTGTACTCTGCACTCTGTACTCTGCACTCTGTATTCTGCACTCTGTAATCTGCACTCTGTACTCTGCACTCTGTACTGTGCACTCTGCCACTAAACTTTATGAATAATATCGAATCCGTACCTTTAAAAGTTTACTTTTTTCTTCGTCAATTAATCGAGTTTTATC